CTAGCATCACGATATCGCGGTATCAAATCGTTAATGTTGGAGTAGTTGTTTCGCAGCTCTTGCACTGGGCTTGTGGAGAGATTCGCGGTAGATTGTCCGGTGGATTGTAATTTTATTGTTATGATTGTATTTTCCTTCTGGCGCTTAGACACTGCCCAACTTTATTGAAACTTGGACGCCGCTCGACCCGTTGTGTGCTCTTGAGCTTTGTGTCTCGTTATCTTACATGATTCCTAAAACTCCAGATAAATCATGTTAGATCTCTACCTCATGGCTGTTCATTAACCGTCAATGTACCACCTGCTATGGCGCGTACGCTTCTTATCAGCACCTTTATACTGAACACGTGAGGGACAGTAACTGTCGTACACTTCTCATGATCCGCTTTGCACACAGCTCAGCTGGGCCAGACTCGGACTTTAGGTAATTGGGAACTCATCGACCCATTGTCTCTTCCCGTTCGGACGATGCTTTGCAGATACATTCGACCGGCTGACAGCTTTCCTGAGGCCTTTTCGCCGCGGCGCCAGATTCGCCGCACCGTGAGCAGGCGGCCGTGGTGCCTGACTTTGACATTGACCTGGCGGTCGGGGGATATGAGTGGGCGTGCCGCCTAACGGCCGCAGGCACCGTCTGGGTTGCACCGCAGCCGGTCCCCGCTGTAGCGCGTCGGTCTCTGTCGGAGCCAGGCGACAACAGGCGACAGTGACAGCGCAGCATCGCTGGCAGAACAGGTGGGACAGGACCGGAGTCGGCTGTGCCGGGACGACAGGGAAGCGGGCAAGCGATTGGGCGCAGTCAGGTGGCCCCGGTCACGCCAAGTCACGCAGTCGCACCTGCGGCTGACCGACATCGGCGAGCCAAGTCGCAGAGATGGTTACCTGGATTGGTAGATACAGTTGACGGAAATAGGTGGACTCATGGGGCGAACATCGTGGAGCGGACTCGTGCTGGTCGACCATAGACAGGTGAAAAGCGACGCGACACTGGTGGTCAGGCAGGGCTGAGTCCGTCTGCTCGGTCGGCCGGTTGTTCCCCACGTTGGCGACCGACGGCCGCCTCCGACCCATCGCTGTGCCCAGGCCCGCCATCTGTCCGGCCTCCCGGAATCCCCTTCGCCTCGCCACCATTGGTCGTCCCGCCATTCCTCGGTTCGCCTCGTGTCATTGGGTGGAATCCGCTCATGGACGGACTCGCAGATGTGATGGTGATTTGGAGATTGAGGGCGCCCGGCCGCTAGATGATGTGACGCCCAATAGCTGGGCATATGCCGATTTCCCAGCTTGGGGAAGCATCTTCCAAACAGGATCGAGTCTCCCTCGTTTTGAAATATATTGCCGCCGCAGCGGGCAAAGGACGTCCTGACGAGAGCTCTTTTCTGGTGTGAATGCTTTAAGCGGGACCATGTTTGGGTCGTGTGTGAGAACTGAGAGCCTCAGGGGATGACCTCGGCGCTTTTTGTCTGCATTTGAAGTTTGCCCCAGACCCCTCCCCCCCCCCGATACCGTTTAATTTCCGATGTAACATATGGATCGGTTTTCTCGCATCATCACACGTTGCGGTGTGCTGATTGTAGATAGTATGTGTCAGCCTCTGAATATCTGGAGCACGGTAATCGCTCACAAACTATGAATTATGAAAGGCATAAGTTGTCAAAATGCACAACTCGTTCAGAAGTGTCCCATGAGGGAAAAGTTTTTGGTCGTTTCCGATATTTATGCGAAAACGTCACCATGTTGATAGCGAAAGATGAAATGATACGGCTCCAGTGAATTGATGCGCTCGAAGTTTCCTCTTGCGATGAAAACTCATATAAATTCGATATCACTCCTCTATAGCCCCCTATTCCCGGTAGCAGTCTCGTAAGGCACTAGCAGTCATCGTCTGTCTGTCTGCCTGTCTGTCTCTGTCTGTTTTTCTGTCTGTTTTTCTGTCTGTCTGTCTGTCTGTCTGTCTGTGTGTCTGTGTGTCTGTGTGTCTGTGTGTATGTGTGTCTGTCTGTCTGTCTGTCTGTCTGTCAGTCTGTCTGTCTGTCTGTCTGTCTGTCTGTCTGTCTTCTGTCTGTCTGTCTGTCTGTCTGTCTGTCTGTCTGTCTGTCTGTCTGTCTGTCTGTCTGTCTGTCTGTCTGTCTGTCTGTCTGTCTGTGTCTAGTGGAATGCTGACCTGTCACCGTTTGGTAGTCTGATGAAGGACTAATATGCCACCATCTTTGAGTCCGATGATGGCGTGAACTGTCTGCTTGTCTGTCTTGAAGTCTAATGAGGGCCTGACCTGTCCCTGTCTTGAAGTCTGTTGAGGGACTAACTTGTTTCCTTTTGGGTGTCTGTTGACGAATAAGAGACCACACTGCCTCCGTCTCGCAGTCTGGTGAAGAACTGACTTGTTTCCGTCTGGGAGCCTGGTAACAGACTCACCTATATCGATGCTTACTCCCAGACTCCCCTGTCTGGGAGTCTGGTGGGCAACTAGCATGGCACCGTTTGAGCGCCTGGCGTCGTGCGACTATTTTGCCCCGACAAGGACGCCACAGGCACAATGCGGTCGCTGGTGGCCAGGCCCGGCCGCGATACCGGATCAGGTCAGCTGGGGTTTCTGTGCCACGCGCCGTGCCCCGCCCCTCGCGCTGAACCCATAAACGGTAGGTGCCGTTGCGCTGAACTGCTGCCTGGCAGCTCAGGACAAGCGGCCCAACGCTGGGGCGGGGGCAGCGCACATCAAGTGCTGCTATTCACGAAGCAGCGCCCAGACGCCTAGGCGGGCTGGTGTGCTGAAGGCCCGCACAGGAAACTATGCCGACCCACAGTAGCCGATGTTGCTTGCCGGGTATCGCGCCGTTATCGTATGATGCCTATGTTGCATAGTGTCGTCTCGTCGTAAAGCACCGTCCAATTTGCACTGGGTCAGCTGCTAAGTCGCCGTATTGCTCTGAGGACTGACGCAAGCGGTGGGCGCCGGTCCGCGAGCATGCCCTACGCAATCCTGGAAAAGCAGATAGGGCGCGCAGAGGCCGCGGCAGTTGCATCAGCCGGTTCGTGTCGGGTCAGCTGAGCCGGCTAGAGGTCACGCCGCTGTATTTGGCCCGCTTTTGGGCCGGGACCGGCCACCCGAACAATGGCCGGCCGGCTCCCACGGCGGGCGGCGCGCCGCTCTGCTGGCGCGGCCCATTGTTGCAGCATGCCGGCCGGCCGGTGACCGGCTCCCAGGTAGGGCCTGGCCCGGCGGCGGCGCTGCCGGCCTCCGCCGCCGCCCGGGGAAAACCGGCTCGGCCGGGCGGCCGTGGGACCCATACAGACCAGGTGGCACGTGCGGCCCGCTGCGGTGACAACTCGCCCGTTTCGGGTGGTGTGAAATCATCTGCGTCTCGCTGAAAGGTGTCGCCTGCGGGCGCGACGCGGCGCGGCGCGCAGTTGTCGCCCTCGCGGCGGTGACCTCAGAAAATCTGGGAGGTGGGCTTCGAAGCTGTGGCTTGCAGCTGGGTGAGGTGACATTACGTCATGTCATCACCAGTATCGAGCTTGTTTGTTTTTCTGTGAAGCATCTTCAGGGAAGTCGGGGGGGGGGGGGGGGCGATATTTGTCGGCGACGGATGTCGGGTGGATCGGAAGAACTGGCCTCGACAGGTTTTTCGTGCGTTAGAACAGCTACGGATACTCAATTGACAGTCGGACTCGTCAATACAGGCAATGCATGATTCAGCAGCGACGTGGTAGCATCAACTCAGTTTGAGTGAGCTAGGGCGCATTCTGACCGCAAATGCGGCGTAACCCACTGAAACCCGTCATCAGTCGAACGTGTGGCGTGGCTGGCCGGTCAGGCCGGCCGCGGACGGACGGGGTGCCCCGCTGAGGTGTGGCGACCCGGCCGGCCGTGCGGCGGTCCGGTGCAGACCCGCTCTCTCGGGCGAGGCTGGCACCGGGCCGGCCGCGGACGGACGGGGTGCCCCGCTGAGGTGTGGGGACCCGGCCGGCCGTGCGGCGGTCCGGTGCAGACCCGCTCTCTCGGGCGAGGCTGGCACCGGGCCGGCCGCGGACGGACGGGGTGCCCCGCTGAGGTGTGGCGACCCGGCCCGGCCGTGCGGCCGTCCGGTGCAGACCCGCTCTCTCGGGCGAGGCTGGCACCGGGCCGGCCGCAGACGGACGGGGTGCCCCGCTGAGGTGTGGCGACCCGGCCCGGCCGTGCGGCCGTCCGGTGCAGACCCGCTCTCTCGGGCGAGGCTGGCACCGGGCCGGCCGCCGGTCGCCGTCGGCCGGCCTGTCCCAACCCGACTGGGGCCGGACCCGACCGGCCGTGGCTGGGCACTGATGGCCGGCCCCGCCGCCGCCGCGCCGGCCCGTTTCGAGCCGCGGCTGCCTGGCTGGGCGCCGCATCGGTTACCGGCGCGCGGCGGCGGCGGCGGACCGGGCGGGCCGACCTGCCTACAGCCGGCGGCGCGTCACCAGGCTCCGGAACCGCTGCAGCAGCTCCGGTCGGCTCCAACTGCGCACGTGCCCCACCCGACCGCCGGCTGGCTGTATGGTCCCGGGCGGCTGCCATTTTGGGAGGTGGGCTGTGGACTGACGGACTGGCGGCGGCCTGGAGCGTGGCGCCTGGGTTGACCTGGCCGGGTGGGTGCACCGGCGCACCTGACCTCACTTCCGCGTGCGGAGCCAACGGGCCCGACAGTCCCGCTCCTTCCGCCGCCGCCACCGCTCGGGGCAAAAGTCCCACCATAATCCAGCAGCTGTGGAGCGGGCCGGCGGCCGGCGCGGCTCTGCGGTCCCGCTAGCCGGAGCGGCGGCAGCCGGCGGTACCAGTGACGGGGCCGGCCGGTGCCGCGGCTCCGCTGAGTCAGCCGTCGTACCTGCCGCCACAGCTCCGCCATGCAATGGCAGAGCACGCCGCCGCACCAAGGCCAGCAGCGGCGCGCGTGACGTCACGGCCGGCCACCGACGTCACAGGTGCCGTGTCGGCGTGACGTCACGGCGGCTGGCGGCGCGGCTGCCCGGGGCGGCCGACCGGCGGCCAGTCGACGCCTGACGTTCGGCGGGGGAGGACTCGTGTGAGCGCTGCGCCGCGCCGTTCGGCCGTCCTGTCGCGCCTGCGAGCGAGCCGACCCGACCGGGACGGGCCAGTGGGGCTGGAAGCTGCGAGAGGACGGTGCTGTGATTTCAGCGGCGTGGGGCGCCCGGTGACGTACCGACACGAGCGGCCGCAAAGCGCGCCGCCGCCGCCGCCGCCGGCTCTGGGGCATTGTGCCGGCGCGCGCGGATTGAAGAGCCGGATGACCCGGCACGACCCCATGCGGTTCATGGAGAACATCTTTGGCATCTTCGGGCACCCGTCGACCTCGGTGCCCGTCAGCGCAGGTGAGCCGGCGACCCTGGCCTCCGGCCGGCGGCCGCGCTGGAATTCGGGGGGTCGATGCCAGCGGTGACTGGGTCTGACCAGCGGTCCCGCATAGATTCCGTTGTCGACCACATTCTGCCGTTGCCAGCGAGAATGCCGTCGTTAGCTAGCGAGAATGCCGTCGTTTGAGTGTTGTCAGTTCGCTAGACTTGAAACGACCGCGGGTGTTTACTTCGGCGGGCTCCGTGTGGTCACTAGAGTGATCCCGCGTTCAAAAATAGATATCGTGAGATGAGTGGAATATTTTTGCGCATCGCACCCCGGCACATATAAGGGAAGGCGAGCTGCAAGCAGTGGCCGGTGGGGCGCTGCATGCTTATCGACGCGCCGATCGCGCGCCCGTGAAAGTTGTCCGGCTCGTCGAGAGTCCGCCACGGCCGACCAGAGACGCCCAGCCGGCTGTGTCGTCCGTCTGTGGTGCCGTGTCTGTGGCACGACGGCGGCCAGTCAACGGGCAGCCGTGTGACTGCGGCACGGTGCCGCCCGGCCGCCTGGCCCGGTCAGCTGGCGTGGTCTGTGTCGGCTGTCGTGCCGTGCCGCCCCTCCAGCTGGCTGGCCGGAGGGGCGCCGCTCGCCGGCCGGCCAGCTGAAGGCCGTCCATCCGAGGTGCTGTTTCACCTCGGCTTCGGTTTAACAGCTGGATTCGCTCTCGCTCTCGCCTGTGTGGCGTGGCGCGCGAGACTGCACCCCCGCTCTCCGACGTCGACCCGGGCTGACGACGTCCCCCGTTGGCCTCTCGGCCCGCTTCGGCTACCTGGGGCTCGCACTCAAGCGGCGCCCTGCAACGCTTGCGCTGTGAACATACCTGACAGCGCTGACTCGTGCTCGAGTCCCCGGCCAGCGGTGTGCCTGCCAATGTTGACGTACGCGCCCTGCCATGTCCACATACCACTGCAGTGTTGACCGGCGGGAGCCGCGCCCAGCGTGGTCGGACGGGTCGCGCCGTGCCACGCTGGCGTTTCGGGGGTGCGGTCGGGGTTGCGCGCCGAGTCGGCGACACTCCTTGTCTGTAGTCCCGGAAGAGAATGTGCCCTTGCCACGTACACTGGTGACCGCCGTGGAGTGGGCTCTCCCTGTGAGCGGGCGGGGAGAGCGCTGTGCGGGCGGCGCCCTGCACTTTGGCATTGAGCCGACTACTGTGGGAAAGTTCCGGGGCCGCTTTAAAAATGACGGAGGTCGTGTTTGCAGCGGTGGGAAATTGTCCCAAGCGCGGCGGCGGCGGATCCCACGCAGGCTGGCGGCCGCAGGGTGCCGGCAGTGCCCCAGTTTCAGCCGACCAGCCGTTCGGGCGCCCGGGTGAATGCGTGCATTCCCGCCGGCCCATATGGCGCCCGTGTCGGGCCCGGCTGCCATGGCCGTGTCGATGGCGCGGGTTGTGCAACGGCCGTCGCCGTGTGGGCGCGCACCGCTCTCCGGCGCCGGCGTCGTCAGCCGGCCGCCGTGTGGGCGCGCACCGCTCTCCGGCGCCGGCGTCGTCAGCCCGGCCGCCGTGTGGGCGCACCGCTCTCCGGCGCCGGCGTCGTCAGCCCGCCGCCGTGTGGGCGCGCACCGCTCTCCGGCGCCGGCGTCGTCAGCCGGCCGCCGTGTGGGCGCGCACCGCTCTCCGGCGCCGGCGTCGTCAGCCGGCCGCCGTGTGGGCGCGCACCGCTCTCCGGCGCCGGCGTCGTCAGCCCGCCGCCGTGTGGGCGCGCACCGCTCTCCGGCGCCGGCGTCGTCAGCCCGCCGCCGTGTGGGCGCACCGGTCTCCGGCGCCGGCGTCGTCAGCCCGCCGCAACGCGTCGCTTTCGTCTCCGACAGACGCCGCCGCCGCGTGGGCGCGCACCGCTCTCCGGCGCCGGCGTCGTCAGCCCGCCGCAACGCGTCGCTTTCGTCTCCGACAGACGCCGCCGCCGCGTGCCATATGCTCTGGGTAGGCGATGGGATGCGCCGGCGCGAGGCGATGGCTTTTGAAGCGTCCGGCGCGGCGGGGGTGGGGGGTGGGGGGGGGGGGGGGGCTAGCCGGCGGCGCCCGTCCGTCCGTCTCCGCCCCGCCTGAGCTCGCTCCAATGGACGGACGGAGCGGCCGGGCGATGGCGATGGCGACAGCGACGGCTCGTCCGGCCGCCGACAGCGTCGGCCACCGGGCCGTGGCGAGCCTGACGCTCTGTGTCATGTGGCGCTGTCGCCGGTCGCGGACGGGCACTCCTCCACCTGCTTTTAGTCCCCGACTCCGGCGAGTTGGGGGGCGGGGAGGGGGGGGGGGAAGAGGGGACGCGCCTAGTGTTCAATCGTCGCGCCGCTGGCCCTGTCAGCCAGGCAGGCCCGGGCACCGTCACCCATCACCGGGCTCCGTGACGGACGGACCGGAGCGTCGCCGCTGGCCCTCTCAGCCAGGCAGGCCCGGGCACCGTCACCCATCACCGGGCTCCGTGACGGACGGACCGGAGCGTCGGCGCCGAGCCCGTGACGCGGCCGGCGGGCTCCGTCAGCCGCCGGCGACGGCCAGGCCAGGGCTGACCCCGGGCCGGGTGGGCTGACCCACGGGGCGGCGCGCCGGAGCCGGTCGCATGCCCAGCTGACCCGGACCGGGCCGCACTCGTTAGCGGCCGGTCCGGTCCCGTTAGCGGGCCGACGCGGCGGCGGCAGCGGCGCGCGAGCTCGGCCGGCCCCGACGGCCGCCATCGCCAGCTGGCCGGCCTGATCAGCTGGGTCGGGGCTGGACGCGTCCGTCCTGACGGGCCCAGTGGACCACTTCACGGGATTGGCGGCGGCGCCGGCGCCGGCGGCTGGCGTGACCGGCATGCCCCCATCCCTCAGCCGGCTGCGGCCACGTTCTGTTTGTTGTCGCTCCCCGCCGCGCGTCACACTTAAATTTCCGGCCCCCGGTGTGGTGGTGGGGGGGGGGGGGGGGGGCGGAGGGTACATGGCCAGGCCGCAGACAGGTCCAGCACGCTTGGAACTTACCGCGCCGGCCGACGGGCTTCCGGGACCCGCCCACTTCATTATTCATCTACGTTTGAACCAGGAGCCCAGCCGAGCGCTGCTCGGTGGAGCTGGCTGGCGGAGGGCGAGGCGGTCCATGCCGACCGTTGCTCGCCGTTAGCCGGGTATTGATCGCGGCACCACCTGAGCGACCCACCTCCGGTCATTAGGTCATGAATCGGAGACGGGTGCGTGTGCCACCGGCCTGATCGGGGCCCGATCAGGCGGCCATTGGCGGACGTCAGCTGCGGCGCCCACGGCGACACTCAGCGGCTGGCCTGCGCTGGCCAGTTAGCTGGGATTCCTAGGCGCAGCTGATGGAGACATGCGTGCCGGCCGTCAGCTGATGGTGACTCGTATGCCAGCCGTCAGCTGATGGAGTCATGCGTGCCGGCCGTCAGCTGATGGAGACTCGTATGCCGGCTGTCAGCTGATGGAGACATGCGTGCCGGTCGTCAGCTGATTAAGTCATGCATGCCGGCCGTCAGCTGATGGAGACTCGTATGCCGGCTGTTAGCTGATGGAGACGTGCGTGCCGGTCGTCAGCTGATGGAGACATGCGTGCCAGCCGTCAGCTGATGGAGACATGCGTGCCGGCCGTCAGCTGATGGTGACTCATATACCAGCCGTCATGTGATGGAGTCATGCGTGCCGGCCGTCAGCTGATGGAGACTCGTATGCCGGCTATCAGCTGATGGAGACATGCGTGCCGGTCGTCAGCTGATGGAGACTCGTATGCCAGCCGTCAGCTGATGGAGACTCGTATGCCGGCCGTCAGCTGATGGTGATTCGTATGCCGGCCGTCAGCTGATGGAGACTCGTATGCCAGCCGTCAGCTGATGGAGACTCGTATGCCAGCCGTCAGCTGATGGGAATGCTGTGCCCTATGTGCTGGCAATTGGATGACGGAGACTGTACTGTCGATGTTCTGATTAGCGTGTGTGCGGCGTCCGTGGCGTGATGTCCGTAACCCGTCGTGATATGGTGTCCAGCCATGCATGTGGCCAGAGAGGCTGCTGTATTATAGGCGTGCTGAGCTACGTCTTTCTTCAGTGTATACGTCTACTTATATCAGTGATCCGTTCGGTCCATTCCCGACATGACGCGCGTAGTACCGTTCCTTTTATCGCTGCGTCTGGACGTGTTTGTGTGGTAGTACGCATTACCATAACTTCCTCTTCTCCATAGGATGGCGTTTATTCCGAGCAGCATTGCCGGCGGACTCTGATGACTACGACGTTAGGGAATCGCGGGTGATTCGGACCACGCCAGTTGATATTTTTCCGAGCGCATTCAGACAACGGCACTTCTACGTCTGCACAAGACTAAACGGAATTAAGCACAGACACATTTCTTGTGGTCTTTTGCTCGACTGTCCCTGGCTTCTCCCCCCCCCCCCCCCTCCCTCCCACCCGTTGGCCCGGCCTCGGACATAGTCAACAAAGCCAACGGGTGCGCACGTGTGTGTTGTGGGTTTGCCGCGGGTTCCCCACCTCGCGCTCCGGTGTGCCGGTGGGCGGACCCGGACCCGGACCCGGACCCGCCGGCAGCGGCGGGCGCAGCAAGTGCCGTGTGTTAACGCGTGCCAGCAGGGCGCGCTGTGACAACGCCCGCCGACCGGCCGACCTGCGTGCATGACGCCCGTCCGGCATTGATCGCTGGCGCGATGGCGACGGCGGTATCGCCGATCCGGTCCGGGTCGGGCGGCACGCGAGCCATGGCGTGCGGTCCCACCCGGACACTAGGTATCGCCCCCGGCCACGCGGCCACAGCCGCTTGACGATACCTGTGATCTGGCCGGCGGGGGGCGGGCGGGCGCTGGGCTGCAGAGGGTCACTGCGCTGACCGCTCCCCGGCTGGGGGTCGGCCGCACGCCGCTGCGCCTCATCTGTATTCGCGGAATGTGCGTGCCGCCAGCGCATTCAATTTGATTTGTGTTTCCTGGGATGATATGTAAAACACTTGCGTGGGGCCCCTTCCTGTTATTCAGTGCGTGCCC